TACAATCGCCGTTCGGAGTCGGCGTATAACTATAGATCCCTCCTCTTTGTGTGACATTTTTGAGAAGGTCCATACTGGTCAACTAAATTTTACGTTAAAGTAATTATGCGTTGATTCCTAGTCAATTTATCCAGGATATGACCTTTAAAATATGTAATTGCTATAACTAGAACAGAATAATGAGGCGAAATCTTTTAATAATGGTACAAACTAAATGGGGCTGGCGAAGCATCGACGGTAACATCGATGCATCGATGTTTTTATATGAGCTGCTAGCATCGATGTTTTTTTCTCAACATCGATGTTTTTGCAAATTGCAAGCTATATTTATTTGAAGCGTAAAAGGGTAACATTAAGCAATTGTTCATAAGTCAGCAAAAATCTTAATAATATTTAAGACTATAAAAGCGCACCTCATTCACATGATTAAATAATTAAAGGTTTTCACACTAGTGACATTAGAGTTTTGACACTCCCTTACNAGCCACCCCCCCCCCCCCCCCCGCTAACTTTCAAATTTTCCTTATATATATATATATAATAGTACCCTGAAATGCCCGATTTTTTATATTAATAATTTTTAAAAGGCTTTAAAAACGCGCCTTATTTATACATAAGTAATTTTTGAACTCAATCCTTTTAGATCCACGGTAAAATTGCGCCGAAAGAAGTTCTGTCCCACTTACCCGGCAACACAGAAAGGAGAATTCTGAGTAGTAAGGGTTATAATCCGTAAGTGCGGCCGAAGGCCGCCTACGCAGAAGGAAGTTCTGTCACACAGAAAGGAGAATTCACTTCTCCGGCAACACATAATCCACGTAATTTTACCGTCGATCTACAGTAATTTTTAACGTGGATCTACGGTAAAAGTGACCGTGGCGCGTGTGTGTAAACATTGCCTATAATTTAGCCTAATTCTCAAATTTAAAAAAAGATATGTTTTTCTTTCAACCCCGAAAACATCGATACTGCCAAAAATCGATGTTTCTCCATATCTAAAACTAAACTTTTCCGTTCCAAATATAAAAAAAATAGATGGAAAATCTGTGAAATTTAAATGCCACACACAAAATTTAGCAAATTTGGTTTTTTAATACCATTTCAACCTTGCAGAGCCGAAATTTGTTTTCAAATTGCTTTATATTTTATCACTCCCTTTTGCTTTGATCAAAAAATAAGTACGTATGGTATGCATGGAGAAAAATTTTTCGTTTACAAACAAATGTACATATGTATGTATGTATATACGTACATATAGAAAACAATAGCCGTTCGGAGGCAGCGTAAAACTTTAAATAAATATATTTGTTAATAATAATAATAGTTTGGCCGATTTGTGGCGTGCGCCTTGTCACACAAAGGGGAGGGAGGGATACCAATTTATACCGACTTTGAGCGGCGATTGTATTTTTTATTGGAAACTGGTTTTTCATGACAGAAATACAATCGGAGGTTTGCCATTGCCTGCCGAGGCGCGCTATTAAGTAAAACACATTTTCTTTCCTTTTGTTTTTGATGCTAGTCGGAAATTGGTAGTGGTAGTGGGCATTATTAACCACTACACCACGGATGCAGCTATTATTAGTACTATTATTATTATTATTATTATTATTATTATTATTATTATTATTATTATTATTATTATTATTATTATTATTGTTATTATTATTATAGTAAAACTAGCTTTAATAAAGTAAGATCCAAATACAACTTAGCCTATTTGGAAGGACTTCTTGGCTATCAAGACATCATTGTAAGGCCATTATGTTTTTCAAGAATAACTGTGTTTCATATGAATAGTTTATTAAATTAATTCGGTAGGTACGTTTTATTTGGTGCACGAAAAAGAATCTACTTATAAACACTTTTGTTTTTTAATAAATACATATGTATATAAAATGTGTTATGTGCTTATGTACTCATAAGCGATTTCATGCTTAACACTTCTATATAATTTTCAAAAAGAAATAAACTGAACGATTTTCAAATTACATTGATATTCTTCAAGCATCAATATTCAGTTGCTAAATAGTTTATGAAATTGTTTGGTTATGATACATATATTTTATATAAACCGCCAAAAAAATGATCGTAAATATCCGTTTCATATAATAATTGAATTCAAAACTATTTAGGCTATCACAAACCATTCCTAGTTAGCCCACTGTAAAATTGTAATAGATTGAATATTTCCCTCGCTTAGCACACATGGAGGAGTGTTTAACGCCTTCTGTTTCGTTCCCTCAGATACTGCTGGCTCGTTTCAGCAGCAAAGAATCAGCACACATTGTTGTGTGATGGTGGTGGGAAAAATGGCGTGTATACACAGTTCGCAACAACAGCGTATGTAGCAATGGCACCGCTATGTCTTCAAATTGAATGCGTGTGGGCAGTACCATATCCCCTAACTTGTGTCGCTCTCAGATCTACCTATGGATGTAAGGTTTTGTATGAAAACCAGAAAATCGGGTTTTATGGCAAATTATGGAACGCGTCGAATGAAGCATACTGTCGGCAGATACTGTCGGACGGCAACGAATTAACCCAAACGGCTGACTGAATGACTGACAAGGGGAACAGGTTCGCGGGCTGTCGAGTGGCAGCGAGTCATGCACAACAAAAGAACGGCTTGTCATGAACAGACCGGACGGAACGTAGGAATCGGACTGTGCGCGTATTTGAAAGCGTACTTTTCAGTTTTGTCGCGCAGCAGCAGCGAAATATATTACGTTTATTTATTAATCGCGCAATTACTTTGTGAATCGAAATGGATTCTACCGTCGCGCTTAAACGAATCGGTTCAATACATACTACAATATATATCCAATTATAATTTTGTTGCTTCTTGCTACATTTACACATAATTGTTAAAGTACCTATGTATGTAAGAAAATTCCAGTGTCATAATTATAACGCATGTTTATTTCAAAGGTGCAGTGAAGAAGAAAATGAAAAATGAAAAATGTTAAAATATTATTTGTTATAAATCAATGTTTTTAGCAAAAATATGTGTTATCTAGGCCATGATAAATAAAAAGGTTGAATAAAATACAGCGAAAAAAGCTTCACTATTTCTACCTACGTCAAAAACTGTGCAGTGAATTCAATGAAACCAAGATCGTGCGCTACAAAAAGATACGACTAATTTAATTTGGCATCAAGGTTATAATATTCTCGCCAATTAATCCAAACACAAAGTTGATCATAAAAAGAACGTATTCATACACACTTATTTGAAAGTGCAAAAACAAAAAAATTTAGCTGCAACTTTGAGTCACTATGAGCTCATTTTTAATGGGTTATCCACACGCGCCGCATCATGTTCAAAACCCCATGGGTATGGGTAGTGGTTTAGACCCGAAATTTCCTCCCGTTGCTGATGACTACCATCACTACAATGGTCATTACACGATGACGGCATCAACAGGACACATGTCAGGTGTAGGTGTTGCTATGGGGAGTGGTATGCCTCCTGGTATGCCGACACATCCCCATGCTTCTCACCCTGCCGATATCGTTAATGATTACATGGCGGCCGCTGCTCACCATCATTCCGCTGCCGCTCACAATCCTCCCCACCCGCATTCACACACAAATAGCGCCCTCTCAGGTCATCATCACAATAATGGCTACAGCAACTACGCTCCAACGCCTACCCATCATCACCACCAAAGCCTTGGATATTATGGTCATCACACGGCTTCGGTGCATTCGGTGCCGCCGGAGTTCATATCGGCAGGAGCGGTACATTCTGAGCCTGTGACACCACTGGGAAACGGAGTCTACCCACCGCCGGTAAATACACCGAATGGCATTAGCGCTTCATTCACATCTAATGGATACTATGGCGGCTACTATGGTACAAACGGGAGTGTTGGTAGTGCCCATTCACAAGGTCATTCTCCACACCCCCAAATGATGGATATGCCCATTCAATGCCCCTCAACGGAGCCTCCGTCAAACACTGCATTAGGTCTCCAGGAATTGGGTGAGTATACTTATGGAAGAGCAGCGGAACCAATGAGCAGCTTAAAAAAACATAATTCTGAAGCAAAACTGTGCACGAATTTTTAGCACTAATATGGAATCAATCTTAAAACTTTGAACAGAGTTACGAAATTAATTTATTGCGAACCAATCTACCTAGACCGGTACTCAAATCATTCTTAACTCGAAATAAGTGACTGTTGCATGTAGGCTTGGGTAGTCCTTGTGCTAAATGAATTAAAGAACTAGTTCAACTCAATGAACTCGCTAGTTCGGTCTCTTAATTGAACTAAATTTGACAGTATTACTATTTCTCATTTTGGATCGCGATCGAGTTTTTACGCAAATATTAAACTAGCGTGGAACGCTTTTAAAACAAACAAGCTTTCTAATTTAATGTTATTGCACAATTTTTTGTTTTGTATGAATGTATGATAATTACGGTGACCATTCGTCCCGATTTTGGCGGGACAGTACCGATTTTAAGAAAACTACCCCGCTGAATATTTTTTAAAAGTCGGGACGTATAAGTGTTTATCAATAAGGTTTTATCAATTCGTCTGAATATTTTTTTTTATGTATGCTACCACATAATTTTGCACATTCTCACAGATTTATAGAATTATTTTTTTAAAGGAATTAATTTGTTTTAGGTCCGATCATTAGATCATTAAGAAATTGACTGTTATCTTAAATTTTTATATCAGAATTGAAGTCGGTTTTGTTTTTTGCTTAAAAATCACTTGTATAATTGTTTGTTAAGTTCTTTTTAGTTAGTTAAATTAAAAAAAAATACTAATTCCCTCAAAAAAATCATTTTAGAATTCTTTGGCGATTATTTAATACTTATTATTTTTTTATGAACGTTAGCTCGTTAGCAAAGACCACTTATGTCGAAGTTTCAAACTTTGCACAAAGTTTCAAACTTAGATTTCTCAAAAACATTCTAAGTATGCAGTTTTGTAGCCCATTCAATTCAAAGTGTAAATTTTAAGTAGCTTGGACATACCGTAGATTTTTGGTAATTTTGTTTTGTGGGAGATGTTACTCATTTTCTCTATACAAAAAAATTGCTGAACATACTTTGTTTGGAGGAATATGCGCGAACAACGAAGACCAATTTTCAATTTTGGACTTTTTATACAACAATTTAATGGGATACAAAACTGCATACTCAAAAAAATTCGCGAAAATTTTGAGCAACATTTGTTAAAATTCGTAGAATTTTTATAAATGTTTTATAAAGTTTGAGATTTTGATTTACATGTTTTTTAGACAGTAAGTTATATTTTCATTAAAAAAATAATGAACATTTTTTATACACAGAAAAGTAGCCAAAACTTGCTAAAATGTCTTTTCGTTATTTACATTCTCGCCACCGGACATATTTATTGTGTGTATACATTTTTGCGATAATTTTTAAAGTTTTTTCCCTTGTTTTGTTTTAAATAAAACTATAAAAATATTAAAAGATGTTATGTGTTTTTTATTCTAAAAACGAAATTGTATATTCGGATCCGATGCTTTAAAAATGTCCCGATTTTCGTCCACAGAAATCTGGTCACCGTAATGATAATAAAAGTAATTGAACTTTGTTTAAAATAAGATTCGTCAATTGAACTAAATGAACTATACGAACTAAAGAACTAGTTCACTGAGGCGAACGAACTACAACTCTAGTTGCATGCTACCACAGAGTTTTTCAGAAGAGAAGTGTACACAATTCTGACAGCTGAAACTCATTCTCACACTTCCTGAATCGCAAAATGAAGAATGTATATAATTTTCAGTGTACACTTGAAAAGTCACAGTTACAGAATCCAGCCCCTGTGCACTGTGAAAAATGCCGCCTTCCTATCGTGAACCTCCATGAAATACCTTCTGTGCAACTGTCAACTATTTCGATCCCATTTTCGGTCCTACATATTTTCGTTACTTTAAATAATTTTTTAGCAAAAAGTACAACAGACTTCAATGCTCATATAAAAATTTTGGGGTACCCCTAATTTCTTTCAAAACACGATGATCGGAACTAAACCAAATTAGTATGGGACCACCTTTCTGATGAGACATCTTTCCGATAGAAAAAGAATTATCGAAAAGGGTTCACGTGGTCCAAAGTTATCCGGTAACATACATAAAAAATATATGTATATTCCGATGAATTGATAACCTTCATCCTGGTTTTTAGTCGGTTAAAAAAACAAAATTGGAGCATGGGAAAAAACCAAGAAATATTTTTAAAACTAATTAAGTTCAAAAGTTTAAGACCAAATATTTCTTCCACTAAAATCACGATTCTTATCGAGCCCCTCTAGTAAAATTGATGAAAATTTTAATATTACCGTCCGCAGTAAAAATAGAAATTTTTGGATTCCCTAACACAACGATTAGGTGGATAGCAGCTACTAAAATTTGGAATAGGGAAGCTAAAGAAGTACAGCACGATGTAATACCGAATTTTAGTTGGTCCGTTCACCTATTGTACCAGAGCTCTAAGTCCATCCACAAAAAAGTGGTGCAAGACTTGTAACAAATGGATTTGTCCTGATCACCAGCCTGCAGTGGGCACTCAGTGTTACAAAACCTGATAGTTTTTTAAGTAATATTGGTTTAAGAAGAAAATGCAAGACATTGATCTAAGAAGTAAAATTATTCTTATTTTTTCTGTTACATAACTAAATTTTTATTT